TCACTCTGAAAAAAAAATGCATATTTTATACATGCGGCTCTTCATATCCGCTTCCGGTTTTGCCAAAAAAAATTCATTTGCAATTGGAATTTCACTTGCATGCTAAGCAATTGACTATACACAAAACTTTTCACAAAAACACAATGCTAACAAAAATTGAATTGGTTGTCATTGACAAAAGCGTGCAGCAAAAACGGAAATGAAAGTAGTAGCGGAAAAGGAAATGGAATATACATACCTGCGCTAGATTTTGATCAGTTAACATTTCGGAATTGCAACCGGAATGTTGCGTTTGAGTGCATAATGCGTTTCATTCCTCGCCAACGCTTATGGCTGAGATTTTCCGCCTTTCCTCTGGTTCACTTAAGTCTGCCGAAGGGGCTGTTTGTGAAATATTTTACCATGTTTAAAAATTACAATCTTGAAATTCCTATAGGTTCTCCAGAATATATAACACGTTCATATTTTTCAAAATATTTTTTTAAATAAATTTAAGAGCTTTTGTACTCCTTTTACCTACAATTCCAGGAAATTGTCATTCGAGTTGTGCCTTTTCTTTAATGCTTACTTTTTTTAGGAAAATAGACAGGTTCTAGGTATTACCTCAACAACAGCAAACCGCAAAACAAACGAGAAATTTCAATTAAACTGCCAGTACTAAATACTTTACCTGCGCCTGCAAGTATGCTTGTTCACATACGCTTATGAACCGTCTACTAATTTATCTTTGCTTCGTTGTGCATATTTGTTGAGCATTGGTTTGTATGTATTTCAGTGCTTACCCTGCAGGAAAAGCCACTAGTTGTAAACTAGAGCGCAACCAGTTTGCGTTTTAGCCCAACTAGTTCACGCTCTTTCCTTTTTCAGTGTTAGTGACTGGTACTTTTAGCATGGCTGTGTCCTATGAGATGTCAATTTTCTGGCTGTGCATTAGAATAGCAGTAGAAATACGGGTAGTTAAAACCCTAGCGTGGCATTTCTGAGGTCCAAAGTTCAAGTCCTCGGGTAGTGCACTTTTTTATCCTTTTTTATGTTTTTTTTTTTTTTTTAATTTTTAAATTTAATTTTTTTTTAAGATTTTTTTTTTTCAATTTAATTTATTATTCCATTTTTATTGCTTTTAATGCTTTTCTTCTCAAATGAAATTATATTTTTCAAAATTGTAATTTATATTTAAATTGAAATAATTATATTAATGGTGATTCTCGATTCGTTTCTTCCAAAAAATGTTGTCTTTTGATTGCCACTTTCTCTTTTCGTGTTCGATTCTAAATTGAAGGCAAAGGGTGCGAAAATAAAATTTCACACTCTTGTAAGGCAAAAACGGCACATTTTCTGCCCTGTGAAGCTTTTTCAGGGGAGGTTTGTGAGAAAATCAATTAACCAGTAACTAGTGACGTGAAAATTTTTAACAGAAACAGTGACCACCCTTATGATTGCTTTTATTTTTATTGAAATTTATTAAATAGACAACTTTTTTGCATGTATACGAATAATTCATTTTATTCTTAAGAAAAATCCACAAAAATATGCTTTCCAAACAAAACCGTATAAATGTTTTGAGGGCGTTAAAACATGGTTACATTTTTTTCACACGAAAAAAGGTCGTTGAAAAGATACATCTTCTGGGTTTAAAAACCGATATTTATAAAAAAAACATTTATTTCTTTGTCAATCTGAAAATAGAAAGAATGGAAATAAACCAAAGGCCGTTTTCTCAAGTTAGTTTTAAAATTTATCTGTCCTTTAAACACAAATTTTATTCTAAAAAAATTTATTTGAGGGGCAAATAAACTTTAAAAGCTACTTGATAAAACGGCACTAACAGCAAATTTCACGAAAGCAATTTAAGTGAAAAATGATTTTAGTTTTTTGAATTTTATATGGAAATTGACAGAAAATTATAAATCATTTTCCCTTTAAATTGCTGGTGAAACCGGCTGTAATAGCCAGATTGACGAAACCAATTTGAGGAAAAAATTATTTTTTTATTTGAATTTAATATGAAAACTGACGGAAGTCAGTAGGAGCATCAAATTATTTCCAAAGGGAAAACAACTGACACGGTTCTGGGAAGACTACACTTGAACTTTACAATCCCTCTCTTCCGATGGCACAGCTTGTGAGCGACTGAAATAGGTGTAGTAAACGTTAAGTTATGTGTAAATTTACAGATTTTCAGAATCACAGGCTAAATATATAAGTAAAGACTTGGAGTGGAACCCTAGCCTAATCGGTAATAGTTTTACTTAAATCAATGCATGTCGCTGTGTAGTGTCGAATGTCGCTTAGCTATCGCTTGAGTTAATGAACTGGTATTTTTACTGACTCTCTTTAGCTTTTTGCTACAGGGTATACATGTGTAGAAGAGCCTTAACACTTTCCTAAACACACACACACACAACGCTCTGTTTCATTGCTTCATTAGTACATTACTCACCTTTGGCCGCATTCGCATTCGAAACACCTGGCAGCCTTCCTTAATTGTGTTGGCGACTATAAATTCACTTTATTATAAAATTATTTCACAAATGAACATAAGTATTCGTTTTAATTGAGGTAATTGCATTTGTCGCCTTACACACATACATACTGCACATTTTAAACATGTTTGTAGGCATGCGATAATAAATTAAGTTTTGTGTGAACTTGCACTTTTCTGTTTTAAATTTACTTTATGTTTTATCAAAAACATATGTACATTCATTCTCCAGGCGCGTAATTTCGCTGGTGCGCATACTTACTTAATTAGTGTTTAAAAGAGGGAAATTAACAATTCGATTTAGCGTCGCTGTTATAGAAGTTTAGAGCCTGTATTGACATATAGCATATCCTTTGAAGAGGACTGTCACCTACTCAATAAGTTAAATTCTATTTTATTTAAATTGTAATTTGATCGAAATTTTATGTACCTATTACAATTACAAAAACAGTTTGGAAGAGGTTTAAAAAACTAAATTTAAACGTAAGTCGTTTTTTTACAGAAATGGCCTATTTAGTTAAAATTCGACACATTTACCATTTCTTTTAATATTTCCGTTTTTTTTTTTTGCTATTTATGACCTTTGAACAATTCTGTTCAACAATTTTATTGAGCTTGAGGCCGTTTTCAAATGAGAAAATGTTGTGGGAAAACAACAATAATTTACAAAGGTAGAAGTCCCAGTGAAATCGATGAAGAGGTCCGATGAGGAGATGTGGGGATATCCGAAAAAGCAGCTATAACTTCTACCTTTGTAGATTATTGTAGTTTTTCGATAACATTTTCTCATTTAAAAACGGCCTCAAGCTCAATAAAATTGTTGAATTTCATATTTTCAGCAATAAAATTCATTTTCTTTTTTTTGCAACTGAAATCATAACTTTAAATCGAATTTTACGCGGGCGGAAAGATCACTTGAAAAAACAATTGCAAAAAAGTTAATTTTAATTACGCTCCCATATGTAAGTATGTAAATGTATGGGTATGGATGTCAAGTTTTCACGTCAATAGCCTGGTAACAAAGCACTTGCAACAACACTTTTTGAGCACATTTTTGTTTCATACATATGTATATGTATGTATGTATGTAAGTACGAATATTTGCATAAATACTTGCTACACGCGTTAACATTTATAGCGGCATTTAAACGCCGTTAGCTTATATGTACATTCGTTTAAAGCGTTGTTAGTGAAAATGTCTCTTNACAAACGACAATCTAGCTTTCAGCGCTCTGGTGCGTGTGCGTGCGTGCGTGCGTAGTTGTGTTTCTACTTGGTGCACTTTTAGTAATCTCATTAAGCCATTTAACTCTTAATTAATTAAGCAGTAATTAACAAGCGGCAGTTAATTGTGGCTGGTGCTCTGTGTGTTGCCACATTGTTGAATGTTGGCGTAATTATGTACTTTGAAAAACAGCTAAAGTTCCCGTTGATAAATGGCGCAATCAGCGTGAAATTTTAAGCATTTTTAATTTCGGTGTTTTTTTTTTGCTTGCTTTTTTTGAGTAATTACCTCAATGCATTAATGAAATATGGGATTTTCTTGTGAGGACATTTACATTTTGACTTCACATGTTAAAGCTGCTAGTGTGAACTGAACTTTAAGCTCATCTGCAGTTGGTGGAAAAATTGTTCGAAATAAGTGGAGCGCACAGAGTTAAAGCTATCTCTGATCGTTGCTTTTTCATATAAATAGAAAGTAGCTCTCTCGCTCTCTCTGCTCGTCACTGACTTTTTAGAGCTTTCTAATTATTTTATATGAATGATTATATTTACTCCATAATCGTCGCTGGTTTAAAGCAGCAGTAGGCAAAGAGAGATTTTATGTTGTGAACGGCCATATCTGCCATGACAATGACGTATCTGGCGAAAAGGCACTTCACAACTTTCTAGAGGTATTTTATGGAAGCGTAGAGTAAATAAAAGCTCTCTCTGGTCATTGCTTTTAAGAAACTTTCTATCGTCAGTGATGTTCAAAACAGCGCCCGGCTCTCTGTAGATTTTATAAGGGCTCGCAGACAGTAAAAGCTCTCTCTGAGCACCACTGATCTACACAAACAGAGTAAAACCTCTTTTTGGTCGTGACCGGTTTAAAGCAGTAATGACAGAGAGAGCTTCTATGCTGTGAACGCGTAAAAAGTGAGAGCTTAGCATACAACTTTTAATGGCATGTGCCGAGTAAAAGCTCTCTGGACATCGGTGAGCGCAGGAGAAGCGGTGCTTATCACCAGTTTAAAGAAACCTCTCAAATACGTCCAATCTCTCAGAGACAGACTAGCTTTGATTTACCGTGGGATGATTTCATGAAAAGTCCATCCAAAAAGATGTTTGCATTGACGTATGGGGCACCCATTTGAAAAAGTTTCAGTATTAAATATTTCATCTAATAACCAAGAAAGATTTGCAAAACGCTCTCTATTTTATTCAATGATTCTTCTGCGTTTTTTTTTTTTAATTCAATTCTTTTACCTTCAATTCTCAGCACCTGACAAGTTGCTCAGCTTTCTTCCATCTCTTCTTAACGGTCGATTTCGCCAAATACTATATCCAATGAACCAATAATGGCCACCGCATCGGCCAATAAGTGCTTGAAAGTCAGCTTATTCATTAGCGCCAAATGTGGATAGCTTGCTGCCCGAATCTTGCAGCGATACGGCCTCGACGACCCATCCGACACCAGATAAACGCCGAACTCACCCTTTGGCGATTCGATGGCTGTATAAGTCTCGCCAGGTGGTACTGCAAACCCCTGCGTATAATACTTGAAGTGGTGTATCAGCTCCTCCATGCCTCGCTTCATAACGCGTCTACGCGGCGGACACACCTTGTAGTCGTCCACCTTTATCTCGCCCGCTGGCATCTGATTCAGGCACTGATTGATGATAACACAGGCCTCGCGCATCTCGCGTATGCGACACAAGTAACGATCATAGCAGTCGCCGTTACTGCCCACAGGCACATCAAATTCCACCTCTGGGTACGCATCATATGGCTGTGTCTTGCGTAGATCCCACTTTACACCAGTGGCACGCAACACTGCACCCGAGCAGCCATAATTCAAAGCGTCATGCGCCGTAATGCGTCCGATGCCGATGTTGCGCGTGCGCCAAATACGGTTATCAGTAATGACATCTTCGAACTCATCGATGCGGTGTTTGAAGCGACAAATAAAGTCGAATAGATCATCACAGAAGCCAAGCGGTAAATCGAAGGCAACGCCGCCCGGTCGTATGTAAGCGGCGTGCATGCGTGCACCTGAGGCGCGCTCACAGAACTCGTATAGCTTCTCGCGTTCTTCGAACATCCAGAAAAGTGGTGTAATGGCGCCGCAATCCAGCACAGCTGTGGAGCAGGCGACCGTGTGATTGGTGAGCCGCATAATTTCCGAAAACATCGTGCGTATGTACTTTGCGCGCCGCGGCACCTGCAAACCCAACAGCTTCTCGATGGCCAAGCAATAGCACAGTTCGTTGGACATGCAGGAGACATAGTCCAGGCGATCGAAATAGGGCAGACCTTGTATGTACGTTTTATATTCGAGTAGCTTCTCTGTGCCGCGGTGCAGTAGTCCGATGTGTGGATCGGCCGATAGAACGGTCTCATTGTCCAGCTGCAGCACCATGCGCAAGACGCCATGCGCAGCTGGATGCGCGGGGCCAAAGTTGATAAACTTTGTGCGAAATGCACGTTCTACTGGTATGGGAACTCGGCCTGTCCAATGGTCGAAACGTGGCGCTTTATCGTCTATGATGCAGCCTTCAAATTGCTTCATGAATTCGGGATCAGGATACCAGTGCTTGGATTCCTTCTGCACGTATTTGGGTGATTGTGTGGCTCGTTCGTTGGCTTGTTTTTCTGCTTTCACGGTGCAAGTTAGACGTCGTGGTTCTGGGTAGGTAAGGGTAGGTTATACGCTTAGTGATAGCATTTTGCTCTTGTGAAGAACTTACGTTTGTATTGGCCGAAGAGCATGGCGATAGCCATCTTCGCCAGATAGGATTTGAATGCATCTCCAGGGATGGGTCGTATCAATAGACGGCTGGAGAGCTTGAGTTTAGAGTAGTCCTTCAGGCGTGAGAGCTGTTTTGCGTTGCGTAGTGAATGTCGAAATTTCTCTAAAATATTATACCAAACGCTCGGCATTTTCGCTTTTTATTTTCTACTAAAAAATTTGAATTTTCGTTTCTCTTCGCCGCCAATGTGTTTTGGATATTTGATTGCCAAGTTTTTCCATTTTTTTTTATAAAAAAAATATCCATGCCCAAAACACTACAGTGCTTCTATTACTAACAATCTTCTTTTTTCCTTTAAATATTTCCAGATCTTCGATGATCACTATCATTTTGCGCATCACACAGTCTCCAAGCGCTCGCTGATGCCCTCGGTGCCGCATCAGACGCGACTTGACGATGACAATCGAGTGCACTGGGCCAAGCAGCAGCAGGCCAAGTCGCGTCGGAAACGTGACTATATACGAATGCGGCCGTCGAGAACATCGTCGCGCGCGCTTTCACAGGTGGATACAGTTCCTTTAAACGACCCGAAATGGGCGCAAATGTGGTATCTGGTAAGTACACCAAGCGAAAGAGTGCGAACAGACTTATGCTATATTTTTACATACATATATCCCTCACTATATATTTGCATATCGTCACCTGAGTGGAAGATCGACCTATCTTGGCAGCCAGTTTGAAAACACCCTCTCTTAGAAAACTTTTCAAAAACGCGCTACTTCATAATTTTGATTGAAGAACACCCTATCTCAGGCATTGGTCGAAGAATGCCCTATCTCAGAATTCGGTTCGATAATGCCCTGAATGGTTGAACAATTTTCTNATCACAGGTGGATACAGTTCCTTTAAACGACCCGAAATGGGCGCAAATGTGGTATCTGGTAAGTACACCAAGCGAGAGAGTGCGAACAGACTTATGCTATATTTTTACATACATACATATATCCCTCACTGTATGTATATTTGCATATCGTCACCTGAGTGGAAGATCGACCTATCTTGGCAGCCAGTTTGAAAACACCCTCTCTTAGAAAACTTTTCAAAAATGCCCTACTTCATAATTTGATTGGAGAACACCCTATCTCAGGCATTGGTCGAAGAATGCTCTATCTCAGAATTCGGTTCGATAATGCCCTGAATGGTTGAACAATTTTCTGAAATAGGGCGTTTTCGAACTGGCTGCCGAGGTAGGTCGATCTTTCACTCAGCCATCGATATGTAATTGTACAGTACTCGTCACACTTTTTTAATTTTAATTCGTAACCAGAATCGCGGTGGCGGCTTGGATATGAATGTGGTACCTGCATGGCAGGCGGGCATCACCGGCAGGGGTATTGTGGTGACAATACTCGACGATGGTCTGGAATCGGATCATCCCGATATCGAGCACAACTATGTAAGTCCCTTAAATTCGCACAAAACCAAGTAGTGATTAATTTCCACACTCATTAATACACTTTATTATTTAACCTATAACTCTAATTCCCTTACCCGCTTAGGATCCCGAGGCGTCTTACGACGTCAACAGCCACGACAACGATCCAATGCCTCACTACGACATGACCGATTCGAATCGTCATGGTACGCGTTGCGCTGGTGAAGTGGCCGCCACCGCCAATAACTCAATCTGTGCGGTTGGTATTGCATTTGGCGCCAGTGTTGGCGGTGTCCGAATGTTGGATGGCGATGTAACGGACGCCGTCGAAGCGCGTTCCCTATCGCTCAATCCGCAACACATAGACATCTATAGTGCGTCTTGGGGACCCGACGACGATGGTAAAACGGTCGATGGGCCGGGTGAGTTGGCGCAACGCGCCTTCATCGAAGGCGTGACGAAAGGACGGCAGGGCAAGGGTAGCATTTTTATTTGGGCTTCAGGCAATGGTGGTCGTGAATTCGACAATTGCAACTGTGATGGGTATACGAACTCCATTTGGACACTGTCAATATCTAGTGCCACCGAAGAGGGTCATGTACCCTGGTATTCGGAGAAATGCAGTTCCACATTGGCGACCACTTACAGTAGTGGCGGACAGAGTGAGAAGCAGGTGGTGACGACAGACTTGCATCACTCGTGCACGGTATCGCATACGGGTACCTCGGCGTCGGCGCCACTGGCAGCCGGCATAGCGGCGTTGGTGCTCGAATCGAATACGAATTTGACGTGGCGCGATTTGCAACACATTGTGGTGCGTACAGCGAAACCGGCGAATTTACGCGATCCGACATGGTCGAAGAATGGTGTCGGTCGGCGTATTAGTCACTCATTCGGCTATGGGCTGATGGATGCGGCGGCTATGGTGAAAGCGGCGCGTAACTGGAAAACGGTGCCGGAACAACAGCGTTGCGAGATCAATGCGCCGCATGTGGATAAGTAAGTATTGGAATGGCAAGTGAATGAAGGATGGAAATATTTAAGAGACTTAAAGACATTAATCGGTGGCTTCATATGATTTTTAACATTTAACACTTTACAATTACAGAGTTATTCCGCCCAGAAGTTATATCACATTACAGTTAACCGTAAAACACTGCTCATCCGTCAATTATCTGGAACACGTTCAGGCAAAAATCACACTCACATCACAACGTCGCGGTGACATTCAACTTAATCTGAAATCACCGGCAGGCACCAAAGTTACTTTACTCACACCACGGTAAGTCGAAACTTTCTTAGCTAATTCTTTGTAATTTCCGATTTCATAGCATGCGGGGAAGAGAGGCTAGGCAGCTTGAGACTTAGAAGAATAGTTCACGTCTGATGTTGCTTTGTAACTTAGAAGAACTCAGAGCAGAACTCCATAAGCGACTCTTCAGTCGTCCGTCGCTTATTAGGCTTTCAGCACTTTACTTAGCTTTGAGTAAAAGAACTGGTGTGGGGTTCTCCTTTCGGCCAGTAAATAGTAATAGCGCTTCAAAATAAATACTTTCAAACAGGGCTTTTTCAACAAAGCATTCCAAGTCGAGTGAAGCTTGTAACGCGCCATAATTATTTCCTTTGAGTTTTTATTTTATGCCAGAAGCCCAATCGGAAAGACTTGAAACTCGAGCCATCTAGCCCATCAAAGGAGCTACTAACCGAGCACCGAAGAGCCTAATGCTTGGAAATGCCCCCGTGTCTTTTTTGTCCCATTTGGATCACCAATTGGTAATGCTAAATAAAGCAAGTACTTCACCACCTGGGCGTCTACTTGTATTGCGGTTCGAAAAGCAAATCATTGGGACTTCGAATACTTGGCACTATGAATGTGTATTTGTCCGTGTCGGCTTTCGAATCGCATTGTGTTTCGAATCGCAATACAGAGTAGTCGCCCTGAACTTTCCAGTTTCGACGGGGTCGGACCAAAGGGTGAGTTGATTGGTTTGAGCTGGCATGTGGGTGTTGGAGTCGTGTGGGGAGTCTTCACAAGCCGGACAGTCATTGGAAATATTAGGGTCGAGTCTGGGCAGATAGCTGATGAGACGGCTACTGTAATGGCACTACTAACGACATGCCAGCGACAATTCAGCACTGTGCCCTGTCCTAACAGTACAAGGGATGGCGGAAAATCGTTTCACAATACGTAACGAAAACAAACAAATTTTAAAGAAAAATTGTTGTAAGAATCCTATAAATCTACAAAGCCTTATTTGCAATGCAAGATGCAAGCTGTGTATATTTAAAAAAAAACTAGCAAAACAAAGTACATACATACATCTAACAACACAAAATACTAATCTAATAATGGCACAAAGGTAACAAAACTATCAAAAAAATGCATACAAAAGAAAATCTATTACGCCAAAAAATAGCAGCCATACGTATTAGAAAATACGCATTTATGGATATAAAAATGTACATACATCAGTAGATTTGTAGAAAAAAATATAAACGAGGAAATTTCGAAAATACAAAATTTCATTACAGCAGCACATTCCACACAGCAGCATTTTCGGCCAACAATCCAAATTCACTTGCTCGCAGCAACAAAAGATCTGCTCAAAAGTACACGCGGAATACATTGCTGGAATTCAATTTGCAATTGCACATGGGACACTTGCCCTGGCAGCTGACACACTTCATTATACAATGCCTACAAAATATATGTCCGCACTGAGTGGCCGTCGGCCGACGAAACCTATAGGAATCCAAACAAATTGAACATTGAAAATGTATACTATCACTGGTCAGCATTGTTGCTGCGCTTCCGTGATGGCGATGGTGATGGCGATGCCGATGCTTGCGTCTGTCTTCGCGGTGTTGGCGAACTCCGCTACTGTTGTTGTGTCATGTACTGCGTGCATTAAGCGATTGTTGCCACCTCATTGCCGACAACTCCATTCGAGGAGGACGACGCTGTTGCTATACTGATAATTCCTCTGCGTAATTTATGCGCCAAACACTCGAAACAGTTGCAAAATTGTGTCTCATCCGATTGTAGTCCGTCAGCGGTGTTCGTGCTGCTATTCGTAATTACTCGACTGCCGCCGGCGCCGCCATTTCCACTAGTACTGCTGGCACCACTGTCATTCGTATTGGAATTTCTATTTGCACTCCGATTTTCAGGGGCAAAGTTTGCACTGCCCGTCGGCGCGTTGGTATGGTGTGGTCGCGCTGTGGGCGGTAATGACGTTGTCGCTGTCTTTGCTGTTGTGTCAAGTTGTTGTTGCTCTCGCACGCTGTACAGCAAATTTTGCGCCAAATTGAGCAGATTAGCAATTTGTTCGGTCACTGGCGGCGCCCTTGTCGCCGCGGACGTCGTCGTGGTGGTGATTGTGCCAGAGGGTGCTGTATTCGCCGAAGGCCTCCCAGCAGCACGCTGTGTCCACTTCGACTGGCTGTTGGGTCGGTGCTTGGGTGGCGGTAGCTTTGCTGCTGCTGCTGCTGTTTTTGTTGCTGTATCTGTTGTTGCTGATGGCCTCTGGTAGACATAATACTAATTTTAAACTGTGAACGTTTTTATACGTTTAATTTGATTTTTCCCCTAAAGATTTTATTCTCAAAAATTGTTTCTCTTATTTGCAATTTATATGGCGATTATATTTTAATTGTGCTTTTGTATTGTATTTTTCGAGCCGACAGCAGTTTTGATTTGTTCACAAAAATTCCCTTTAATTTCACAGTATTTTTAATGATTATTTTTTCTATGAGATTTTGTTTTATCGAAAAAATCCCGGGTGAAAATCGATTTTCCTATTGAAAATAAAACGAAACTTTCCACAAAGTGTAGTCTTGAAAGTGCTGTCTCTATAAAGAAAACTAAAAAAAAAACAGGTGTTTTACAATTATAGTCCTTAGCATTTTGATATCTCAACGGGTTCCTGAGATACAAATGTATAGGCCAAGCAGAACTCTTCTAAAAACGAAAGTGGTTCTTGCGAGATGTGTAGAAGCTAGATTTTACGTAAAGTAGTGGTATCCTCTCTGCACTTGCGAGAACAAATCTCGGCTAAATTATGTTGGTAAACGAGCTTTTTATACTCTGTGTGTTGGGTCAAACGAGCGCCTGTCGGTGTTTTACGTGGATACATGCTGAAGACAGCGGAACCCCACGGCGCTCAAAAGCACAGCGGATCAATTCGTTGTTCAGCGTCTCGTGATGCAAGCGTTTTCAGTCGATACCAATCGGTGCCCCGAAAAAATCAAAGAGTTCCCGAAAATTCCAGAAACAATTTGAATAGAGATAGAGATGTCCGAAAAATAATTAAAAAATACCCGAAAATTTCAAGTCATTTCAAAAGAAAGGATCCAGAAAAGCCCCGAAAAAATTTAAAAAGTTGTCCAACACTTTTAAGAATGTTTAAAAAAGAATCCGGGAAACTCAGAAAAGTTTTAAAACCCAAAGTTACCTGAAAAGAGGAAAAAAGGAAGGAAGAGGGTCACGAAAAATTCCATCAATTTCCGAAAAATGCAGAAAAATCGGATCAATTCCCAAGAAACCCGGAAAAATCCAGATAAGTCCCGAGAACGTGCAAACAATACATGAAAAGTGCCAAAAATTTCCGATAAATCGCAAATAGTNGATCAATTCCCAAGAAACCCGGAAAAATCCAGATAAGTCCCGAGAACGTGCAAACAATACATGAAAAGTGCCAAAAATTTCCGATAAATCGCAAATAGTCCCAAAAACTCTAAAGTTCTGGATAAATCCATAAAAGTTATGAAAAGGTCTAAAATGTTTTCGAAAAATCCAGAGAAGTTTCAAAAGATTTCAAAAAAAATCCCGGAAAGTCCCGAAAAATCGTAAATAATAATTTACTAAAATGCCAAAAATTATTATAGATTCCGGGAATTCCCGAAAAAATCCAAACAAAATATCAAATAAAATCCGAAAAATCTAGATAAGTCCCAAGAATTTAAAAAAAAATCTGAAAATATATCTCAAATAGTTCCAAAAAAACCTCTAAGTTCTGCATAAATCTATCAAAGCTCCGAAAAGATCTAAAATGTCTTCAAAAAACCCACAGAAAATTTCCAAAAGGTTTCAAAGAAATACCGAATAATCTAAAAAAATCCAACAATTTTTGTAAAATAAAGAAAAATCCCGACAAGTTTAAAAAAAATACCGAAATAGAAGAGTCCCGAAAATATCTAGAAAATTTTCGAAAAAGTTCGGAGGAGCCCCAAAAATCGCAAAACGTTCTCAAAATTTCTTGGAGTGTCCGAAAAGTAGAACACCCATTTCTTAAAATACTGAGAGGTCCCGAAAAATCCAAAAAGTCCCGAAAATGCCAAATAATTCCAAAAAATCTTAAAGATCGCGATAAATCCAAATAAGTCCCGAAAAGATACAAAATTTTAAAAATTCAGAAAAGTTCTTAAAGATTATAGAAAGAATATTGCAAAATCCAGAAAGTGCAAAAAAATTCTTAAGGTTTTGACAAATGAAGATAAATCCCGAGATTAAAATAAAAAATCCGTTATTTCGCGAAAAAAAAAACAAAAAAGCCCCAAAACAATACAGAAAAATTACATAAAAAACTCAAACTGTCCCGAAAAGTCATAAAAATTCTTAAGTTTCGGGAACTTAACTTAAGTTTCGGTACTTGAAAAATTTCTAAAAAATCAAAAACTAAAATTACTGTCATTTTTTTTTACCCAAACTTTGGCTTTATTTTTCCTCAAATAAATTTTTAAATTAAGTCAGTATTTCTTGCTAAAAATAATATAAAAATCCATTTTCTTAATTCATGAGGAATCGTATTTTGTAGTGAGGGAGGATTCTAATGGAACGATGGTACAAATTTTTTTTTTTCTTTACTATATCCTCTGCTAAGGTTCATCACTTTCAATGTCAAATCGACTCACTTCACCTTAGTTGTTTTCTAAATACTTTACGTATTGTTTTGATACTTTTAAGATATTCCAGTTGAAGGCTATCCCACCTTCCAGCAGATCATTCACAATCCTGTGTCCCCAATCGTTCCCACGGCAGTTGAGTCGGCATAACTGCATCGACCCAGATTTATAATTGGTCACTCCAGCACCATTTAAAAAACAAAATCAAGTGCAATTTTTATAATCTTTCAACGGCAACAACAACTTCATTCACAGTCATTCGAAAACTTAGTATTCAACTATAAACTAACCCCAACTCAAAGCTGAGAGAAAGATATTTTATTTAATTTCTCTCCATTTAACTCTTTTATAGCTCATGAGTTAAGTGCTTTTCTAACGAAAATAACTCTTACTTCCTTTATTTTTCAGTATTCACGATGTATCACGTTCTGGTTTTAACCAGTGGCCCTTCATGTCCGTCCATACTTGGGGAGAGTCACCGCATGGCGATTGGCAGTTGGAAATTCACAACGAAGGTCGCTATATGGGTAAGTGAAGAAAGCGAACCGAATTTTTTTCTTATAAAAATCTTACTAAAATCTCACCAATTTTAACTGCTTCAAATATTAAACTCTGAAATTTTCTGGATGTATTTAACTACTTCTTTTTCTAACTTTTATACTTACATGCTGCGCCTTATTGACAATTTGGCAATATAAATTTATACATATAAATTCTGTAACTAATCAAACCAAACAAAACAAAAATCTAACTGAAAACTATTTTCTTTAACATAACCTCAAATTTAAAATACATACATATATATATAACTGTAATCATGCAACCGTGTAATTGTCAATCACTAACACTACTCACAAACAACAATTGAACCCAATTGTTCCAACCCAACCACCCGGCAACGGAAACCATAAAAGGTCACGCCTTACTCCGCGAGTGGTCGCTAATATTTTACGGTACCACACAGCCCATCGACCCCAATGACCCAGTGTCCACACCGCGCGCCTATTCCGCCGAAAACACAACGCCCAATTCGAATGCGGCGAGCACCACAACGAACCTCCATCAGATCTACTCGCCACAATATCCGCGCATTTCATCCAATAATGTTGGTGGCGGCGGCGGCGGCGGCGGCAGCTTCAGCAATTCGGCGACCAGTGTTGTGGGCGCCATCAACGCCATGCCGGGAGCGGGCGTGAAAATTCCCATTAAATTGCCAACGCCGTTCAACAAATCCGTTTACACGGCCGTGAATGGCGCAAATAATCCATTGTTGAATGTCGCTAACGGAAGTAGTAAAAAGCAACAGCAACAACAACAACTCTACAAACTACAACAACAGCAGACACAGCCGCCCAGTTATCAACAAATCTCAGCGACCTATGGCGTCATATTGGGCTCGCAGAGCGGGAAGGCTGGCAAGGGCGGCAAAGGAAAGGGGAAGTCTGGTGAAAAGGGTAACGGCAAAGGAGGCGGAAATGGCGGCGGTGGCGGCAGCAAATCGTCAGCCAACAAGAAAGAACAGGCTACTGCAACAAATACGAAGAATAAATTCTACCGCATATCACAACAACAGCAACAGGGCGGCGGCGGCGGCGGCGGCGGCAACGGAAATAGCAAGTCGAATGGCGAAAAGTCCTCTAAACAGGGAGGAGGACGCAGTAAAGCGCAGTCAGGCGAGCGTTTACAGGGCTACGATGAAAAGCTGAGCCGCAAAGTTATTGGCGAAATAACAACAACAACCACGACCAGTACAAGCGTGAATACAAAAAACAACAACCAAAACATCAAAGCGAATAGCAACAGTAAAACTGCGCTCAAAGCTGACTCCGCGAGTGCGTCTTCAGGCGCGATCTCGACCGCTTCGAAAACCGTCGCCACGCAAATGACCAGCTACTCGAAGTTGCCCGTCAAGGCGACCAAACAAATCAAAGAGTCGCTGCTGCCTATGCAAACACATGAAAAACTTACAGTCGCATCCTTCGCCGACACGCGCATACCGAAACTCTTTGAACATTACGAGAAAATCCAGGCAATCTTTCCAGAATTTCAGCCATATCAGGGGCCCAAAGAGAAGGATACCACTGCCGCCGCAGCGGCAGCAGCAGCAGCTGTAGCGGCTGAGAAGCGGAAATTGCCTGCCGCTGCAGCCGGCATTTCACCGCTGGACTACGAAGCGGAAACCTTCAGGCCGATGTTGGGTGCGATTAGTGGCAGTAGCGGGGAAAATGGCAACGCTAATGGAGCGAGCGGAAGTGGCTCGAAACCGTCGCGTGAGAATGCTAAGAAGTCTTCGCCCAGCTTTGTGCCCGATCAGAAGATTATCAAGAAACAACAACTGTTGCTCGCGGCAGCGGGTTTGAGCGGCGGCACACAGCGTCCGATTGGCGGTGTGCTCGGCGTGTTGCCCAATCGTAAGGGCAGCGCAAGCAACGGTATAGGCATGATTTTACGGAATGCATAACCTTTTTTGTTTTACTGCGAGTTTTTCTTTTGCGATTCTGATATTTTGTAGTGCAATGCTGAGTAATGTGTATTTTATTTTATTTTTTATTTTTTTCGAAATTCAAAGTGTTTTATTTTTAAGATAATCGTTTTTATTCGAGGCACTCACTTTTCAATTCATTTTTCCAAGTATTACTATTATTATAAACGACGGCAATGAAGTCAATAGTACCGTAAATGCTCGACTGTACAGAGTCCTGCGATAATTGCTACCATTCTCCCACCACCATCACACGTTGTATTTCTTGTATTATAATTACGTGAAAACTGTTAGATGATTTCAATAAAGTCCAATTAGTTTGTTGACGAAGACTCAAACCTCTCGCACAGTAGCGTCGATTGAACTTTATACGCAATAGGGCCAAGGATTGGAGCGCACTGAGATTCCAGTCTTCGGAAATTTATTCACTGTTACACCTAAGAGCTAATGCTTACGCCCTACCAGCTCCTTACCGCCGGCTGTTAACAACTCAGCCGCTTTACTG